GGTCCCCGGTCCGGTACGGGGGCAACACTGAGGATTGCGATCCGTTGCCAGACATGGAAAAAAGACAAAAAAAAAAAATTAAAAATCTGGAAATACAATGCACATTGGTGAAATCTCATTCTAGAATGGTATGTATAAAAATGCTTGCATCTGAGAAGAATNTGAGCGGCCAGTCTGTATGTGGGATCCGAACCCTCAGCGGGAGTGCCGCCACACTCCCAAGTGGCACACTGTAGCAGTGCGCCACCGGGCCGGCCCCCTTCCCCAAACTTCTTTTTGAGACCATGCATTAGGCTGAACCATACAAAACCACCAGTATTTGACCACTTTTTATTAACTAGTTTGAGTTTCATACATTTCAATCTAATAGATACAGCTTCCTTACTAAACAAATTTCAAGATATTGAATGGTGAGAAATCACAACTTAGAACCTTGTCCTAATAGATAGTGATCCTGCTTGAAATTCTTTTCTTCTCGAAGATGAACTGCTGTAACTCTTGAAAGATCAGCCTGGCATGCTAAGGTAGTGTGGGCAAATATGGGAAATGGTGACATAAAAATTAAGAAGAAAAAATGATTTCTCTTACCTTTTTAGGGAGACTACAGCAAAGCTTCTGAATACTTTCAAGAAGCTTTTGATGCAACAGTGGAGCTAATGAACATGCCTCTGATGGATGAAACAAAAGTTCATTATGGAATAGCAAAAGCTCATGACATGATGCTGATGGTGAACAACTGTATAGAATCTGCAAATCTCACCAGCCTCCAGAGCCTGCTGTCATGGAAGGAGAATAGGAGTAACATTGGTCCTTATCTGACTATTGGTAAGGCATTGGTTTTTCAAAACATTTTAGTTTTTGTATTATTCTTAATGATTAGGTCATTTACATTAGAAAGGTTTGTTCAGCTGTTGGTGATTTTAATTTAATCGGTAATTTTAATTTTATTGATTTATTACTACAGGAAGGTTGGATATACTTTCATGCTATGTTATACATTTGATGTCTAAGAGAAGCATGAAAGAGTGGTAATGATTTGTTCTACTTGACAGATCGCCATTCTCATGCTGTTTTTTTTTTTTTCCAGTTATCTTAAATTGTCAACAATATGTACTGATCAGTTGTAAGGAATATGAAATAAGCTTATGCTTTCTTAAAATGCTCAGTGTTGTACCTTACTGCAAGAGCAAGTGTTGATAGATGCTAATTTGTATTATGCACTTATTTGGGGGATGGTAGTTAATTTTCTTATTCTTTTTGATCAATTTGAGTTTGAAGATTAATTTTTAAAGTATTTCATAGTAGTTTCTCTTAATTCTACTTTTNATTTGAGTTTGAAGATTAATTTTTAAAGTATTTCATAGTAGTTTCTCTTAATTCTACTTTTTTCTACATACTTTTTCTTGTGAAGAATTGGAGTCTAAATAGTCCATTAAAAACAAACAACTAGAAGGGATTTAAGGGTCATTTTAATGTATCGACTTGGCTAGGCTCCAGTCCCCAGTAAAGAACTTTAGAGTAGACGATTTTAAAAACAAAAACAAACAAAAATCAGTACTGCCTATGACAGACCTTTGAGTTCCATAATTATTTGTTTGCAAATCAAACTTTTTAAAGTAAAATAATTTAAATATTTTGGGATAACTCAAATTGAATCATGAGGCAAAATTTTGTAATTTGAAGAAACATCTATTTGATTTGAACTTCCCCCACCCCCACACACCCCTTTGGTCATTTAGATGAAACAACAATCTGTTTGGTATTTATTTCCTCCATCGAATAAATAGTAAATAATAGTAAATTTGGCACAAGGGGATTTTATTGACTCTTTTAGGTCTGTAGAATACCACTTACCACTCTCTGTCTTCTAGTTATAAAATAAGGAAAGGTCTCACTCCAAATATATGCACAGTAAAAGGAAATGAAATGAAGTCATCACTTTTTTATTTT